CTTTAACTCAGGTAAACAACATGGTCTGGAGGATGTATCGGCTGAGAGTACTAAATTCCCGTCGAACTGTCGACTGAGAACCACTGAACTCCCTTAGCTTGTTCTCTTTGTTCCTCCGTCTATGGAAGTAGAATGTTACATCCTGCATTATGGCACTGAATATCCCCTTCTGTTTGGACGCTACTGCCTTAAAGTAGTGTTAATACTTGTTATATTTTGGCATCTGTCGGTAGGCGTCGTTACAGCAAGGCTTAAGCCCGACGAGCAAGACAACGCTCTAAATATTAGACCACGGAATCCGCGTCAGAGCAAGAAACAAGCTGAATAGATGTTTTCGAAACTAGCTTCAAATTTTACCCACCTGAAAAAGCGCCCCATAACATTGGAGGGTCCCTCATTTGGTTTAATCAAATATTACCTGTCCTTCGCTTCAGACAGGCTTGGAGTATTCTCTTTCCAGTTTTCTCATTTTTACTATTTGTCCTGCTGGGAGTACGATATAAACGTGTGATTTTTATTACGTGCAAATCATGTGACATGAGATTCATGGCGCCTCTGTGATAAGTAATAAATTTTTATTTGACTCTATTATCCTTGAAGTTAAAGAAAATCCACTCAAAAATTATTAAGTACATCCTGTAAGTTAGAAGTAATATGTGCTTGGTGGCGTCCATCAAACTGAAGCGATATTTCGCAATAAGCCTACTACCTGCATAGGTCGGGTTTTTCCTGCCGTATGTAGGCCGCTTCCAAGTAGCGCAGAGTCCCATTTTTTCATGCCCGAACAAGTACTCGGAAGGCTTTTTTGAGGTTGACCGAGTGACCACTGTCTAGCAGGTGTTTAGTATTTGAAGATCGTGGTACTCTTTCTTCTTACTTGAAAAGCCAATTAGACAAGTCTTCAGCAGTTCTGGCTGCCAGTTGCATTTGCGTACGTCCAATGTACTTGCATTCGCAGGTGCACGTGAATTCATACATAGATATAATTTGGGGAGCGGGGGGCGTGCAACGGCAAAGCATCTTTTGCTCCTTTTACCGGAAGACTGACGAAGAAAAGTTCAGCTGCGTTGTACGTCCTTTCTACGGTAAAATGCACGTTGCGTGTAATTGGAATCACATACTGTTCGCGCCAGAATTCGTGGAACATGCCAACATATGCGAAAGGTTGATACTAATTATCGAATAGTCTATACTGAAGTTATTTCAGTCATGATAAGATGCAGGCTTTTTAATGAGCTTCGTTCTGACCACTAACAAAACGTATATACCGTAGGAAGTGGCTACTTAAATAGTATGCGTCTTTGTTATTGATCTTGACTGCCTTTGTAAATTTTAATATATTTTATGGAAAACGCAAGCGAAAAAAAAATATTTCTTATACTCCTTTGGTTTGGATTTACGTCTTCTTTAAACTTTATACTTAAAGAAAGGGTATCCTTCGGTTTTTGAAAAATTTCCAATTATGAGCTTTTTTACGATTGTTTGGTGTTCATTCATAGCGCATCGTATTCGTCAATTTATTAATGCTGCATATACAGTATAAAGCATGTTCCACGCCTATTGCAACATTTTCTGAGAACCATGTGACTTTTTCCTCAATCTGTAGGCGAAAACCTATTTTTCTTTAAGCAGCATGTACACAGTGCGCAGTTTGTAAACCTTGAATTCGAGTGTAGCAGTCAGTAGATTTCAAAGTTATTCAGCAATTTATAATTTTTTTTAAACCGAAGGGTACCCTTTCTTTAAGTATAAAGTTTGAAGAAGACGTAATTCCAAACCAAAGAAGTACAAGAAATATTTTTTCGTTTGCGTTTTCCATAAAATATATTTAAATTTGAGAAGTCAAGTTGGCAAACATATGTTTTCAGCAAATCATCATCAGGCCACAACAGTTGCAGGGTTATTAAAACTGTACAGATGGACAGGGTTAAATAGTGTAGTCTAATTACAATTTATCGTTTACGCGTCGCCCGCATGGCGAGGTTGGCGTGTAGAGGTTATTGCGTTGGGGGAGGGGGAGAGGGGTAGGGGGGTAATTGGGTTAGGTTGTGGGAGTTGATCAGAGGGCAGATACATGGAGGGA